CAAAAGGTGGGAAAAAGATACTCGAGTTTGAGGAAACAGTAAAGGCATAGAGATGTGAAGTTCAGCATGATATACCAGGTTAGATAATGCTGGAGCTAAGCATATTTGCAGTGATAAGAGGTGAGATTAGAAAGTAGGCCAGATCATGAAAGGTCTCAAAAACAGTATTAAGGAATTTAGATGTTCATCCTGAAAATAAAGGAAGCTGCTTAAAGATTGTCAGCAGAAGAGTGATATTGACTGGTTTGATACTGAGTGGCTCAGAGAGTAAGAGACAAGAGGCATAGATACCAGTTGGGAAGCAAGTGTAGCAATCTGTGGCCAAAGGGGCCTGAACAAAGGCACTGGCTATGGGGATAGAGAGGGACAGGGTACGAAGAACTATTAAAAAGACAAATCCAGAAGATTTGGTCATGGATTTTATGAGAAAGGGGTAAAGAAAAGGAAAGTCTACAATTCTTAGAATTCTGGCTTGGGCAGATGACTAGATGATGGAGCCATTCTCCAAGATAAGAAGTGTACTAATTAAATAAATACATACTCATTGATGAGTAATTGAACTGAATTTCATGAATTGAATATGCCTTACTGTTCTATGCACCAAAAATACAGAAAGGGGAAAAGAGAGAGAAAGATGAAAAAATACAAATACATCAGTACAAAGTCTATGTCCTCATCTCCTTGAAGGTCCCACAAAACAATGCTCATAATTATTGGAGCTGTGCGAGACTTCAGAAACTTGGCATTTAAAACTACAGTTAACACTGCTGTATGGTCTCTTTTGAGCAGCACATGAGATAAGTTCCTGAGGTCTCTGTCCCAGATACTACTACCAGGAGGCAGTGTGGTGCCCAAAAAGAGCCTGGGCTCTGCAGCCAGACAGCCCGGCTTCAAATCTTTAACCTGCTGTTCCACCTGGAATGATCACAACAGCACAGGCAGCTCTGCTGCCATTATTCTTTCTTCAAGCCCAAACTATCCAGATGGTTCTGGCATTGCAGAACATGCCAACAAGCCCTGTTGCTTGTTTAGGAACTAAATTCTAAATGATTGGGCTTTCTAGGGGGAATCTTCCTGGGCCAGACAAACTTCCCTTTGCCCACAGCAATGACCCTCTTCCTTGCCCACACATTCTCCACTTGAAAAATTTATTCTTACTTTATAATTTATTGAATACTTGTTGATGCTCTGCTATGTAGCACATAATTGATAGTTTATGTCTTCTATCAATATAAGATATTCTCCTTTGTCTTTAATGCTCTTTTTAGCCTTAAGGACTATATTATCTATTAATATTATTTCTTTCTTTTGATTGTACTTCCTTGATTTACCTTTGCCCATTCTTTACCATCTTACTTTACTGACAAAATGTGAAGCAAAAATAGAAGAAAATGAACAGAAATGCAATTACGATGGGGGACTTTAGTATACTACCATGAAGCTATGACCTATAAAATACACTCAAAATACATATCAAATCACAGAAGATTTGAAAAATACAATAAATAGGTTCAAATGCTTGACTGATTTTGTACAAAGAAAACGCATCCTTTTCAAGTGCCCATATGAGTTCCCATGGGGTCTAGGACCTTGTTTGATTCTCCTTGTCTATTGTCTTATTATTCCGATTTGTTATAAAACTATCTAGCATAGCACATGACATAGAATAAGTATCATTAAATACATATTGTGGGAATGACTGAATACATCAACCAAGTCACACACACACAAAACCTACAAATAAAAAAACAAAAACAAAAAACTTCAGCAAAAGTCCTCCAAAGCAGAACTGTACCAGTCATACCCTGACCACTATGAAAGAAAAACTCTCCTAAAGGAGTCAAGTATGGAGACAGGCAGGCTCACAGAAAGACTAATACAGTGGGAGGGTTGTGATTTTATTCGGTAACCAGATTGTTCTGGGTGCTCTAAGGAGAGAGTGACTAAATTTACCTGGGAGAATCAGAGAAGGCCTCACAGAGAAGGGAACATTTCATTTCCTAAAGATCTGAGTTTTTTGTTTGGTTTGGTTTACATTTTAATATTAATTTGCAATTTTCATGTCTCTCTAATCTTAGTATGGTACACAGCAGAAGCTGTGCTCAATCAATGTTCGCTGAACAAATGAGTCAATGTCAGGATATTCAAAAGGAAATGCTAGCTCCCTATTTTGGTGAGCACTGCTCTTTAATTGACCTTGAATGAATTATGAAACAGAGTGTGTAGGGTCCAAGGAGTCAGAGGAATGAGAGGCTCATCAATGAGACAGCAGTATTAAATCAAACAATATTTAGTGATGCTCATCATGTGCTATTTTTTGAATTACATGATTCTGCTGGGGATTTTCTCTGGAAAAACTACAGCATTACTTATTTCCTAAGAGGTTCCTCAATCCCAATGAAAAGATGACATCTTTATTACTACTATTAGTATTATTTACAATATTATACATATTATATGCAAACAATATATATTACATTGTAATATATACAACGAACTACAAATTACTCATAGGAATGACATTTACTAAATGCCTCTTGTATTCTAAACACCTAGGCAGAAACTTTACAAACATAGAATGTGGCAGAAAAGAATAGAGACCTGGAGTCTGACATACTTTGTTCCAATCTAGGCTCCACTATCTATGTGACTCTAGGCAAACTCCTTAACCTCTAGGGGCTTTAGTTCACTCATCTCTAAAATAGGGATAATACTGCCTATACCTCGAAAGGTTGTAGTAAGGAGAAAATTCATGTAAAAACACTTACCATAGTGCCTGGCATAGCATCATTCCTGGTTGTCCTTCATAACTAAGCTAATTATGGTACAATCCTTCCTTAACTATTTGGTGAAACCCCCATATCATATATTAAATTCTCATACATACAAGGATCTGTTTCTATCCTTTTTATTCTGTTTATTTCTCATGCCAGTAACATACTGACTTGAATTATAAATATGTTTTAATATTCAATAATCTCCCCTTTACTTCACTTAAATTTTAAATAACATTTACAATTTTATTCTGATTACACAAGTTCAAGTTCATTCTCATTTAGAAATTTTTTTTTTTAAAAAAAGCAAAAATGTATAAAGAAAATGAAAAACAAAAATAATTTCTACACTAACCATTCAGATATAACCACAGTTAAGATCGTTATGATTTTGGCTTCTTTCTTCCTAGCATCTCGAATCTCAATTTTTTCTCTTTTTCGTACTACATATATAGAGAATATTGTATCTTGGTTTTCACTCAGCATTATACTATGAGAACTTTTCATGCATTACTTTTCAAAAACATGATTTTTAATAACTGCATATTTATCACATAAGTATATCAATTTAAGCATTCCTGTGATATTGGAAACATAGTTTACAATACTTCTTGTATTATATATAATACTACAAAGATCACTTACATAAATCTCATCTGTATCTCTGCTTATTCATTTCCTTAGGATAGATCCCCATAAGTGGAATTATTATGTCAAAGGTTATGTCCATTTTAAAGGTCCTCAATACATATTGTTTTCCAGACCAGTTTGTCCTATCTCCCAGCAGTGTGTCAGCATGGATTATCATTATCTTTGATAATTTAATGGGCAAAAAAAGTCTCTTGCTATTTAAATTTCTGTCTCTTTGATTGCCAATGGTAAGGCTGTAAACACTTACCTCTATGACTGGTCTATGTCTATCACAGACATATCAGTTAATTTCCTTGTTCTGTCTCTATACCTCCTTCTCAGATAATCTAAAGCCTTATCTTTATAATAATGACAGCTATTTGGACAAAGGGTGGACAGCCGATCCAAGTCAAATTAATCCACAGCTTGCCAGTCTTGAGAATTTGAGCTAAAATGAGATTCGGAGTCTCATGAAACAGACAAGCAGAAAGAAGAGCTACATGGGCACATGAGAGAGTAGGCAGTCTCTAGTCCTGCCTTTCCTGTATTTCCCCTGTGTACAGTATACTTTTTCTTGTCCTTGAATGACTATGAGACCACCTGTTATATCTTTAAAATAAAATATCAAGAGTGGCTTTTGTTTCTTATAAACTAATGAATTCAAAGAGTGTCATTTACTCATTTGGTTTGGAGTGCTAGTATTTAAAAAGCCTTTATATATTGAGAATACTGATGTACTTTTTGTCCTAACTAAAAAATATTTTCTTAATTTATTATTTGCCCTTTAATTTTATGTACTACAGCATACAGATACATTCAGTTATTGATCTTTTCAAATCTTTCCTTTTGGAGGGAGAGTGCCTTGAGCCTTTGTTTTAAAGTCTATTTTGTCTGGTGTAAATACTGCTACCCCAGCTTTTTTTTCTTTCTTTCTTCTTCTTAAAGAAGCCCCTCCAACATTTCCTGTAATACTGCCTTGGTGGTGAACTTCTTTAGCTTTTCCTTGTCTGTCCTTTGATTCTAAATAATAGCTTTGCTGTATTGAGTAACCTTAGTTGTAGGTCCTTGCTTTTTATCACTTTGAATATTTCATCTCAATCTTTCCTGCCTGCAAAGTTTCTATTGAAAAATCAGCTGAGAGTCTTATGGTAGCTCCCTTGTAGATAGATAATCAACTGCTTTTCTCTTGTTTTTAAAATTCTTTGTCTTTAACTTTTGCCATTTTAATGATGTGTCTTGGTGTGGGCCTCTTTGGGTTCATCTTATTTGGAACTCTCTGCA